TTCTCTCAGTTTTTTCAAACAATAATTTCTTCGAACGTGTTCCCACGCATGTCGACGAGATAAGACCGACTGTCAATTCTTAGATCACAATAATTGAGTCAGTAAATCAGACACTCAAAAATGTTTACTAAACTTTTGGTTTCCTGTGATTCACTTGAGACTTCCTGCTACGGAAAAACGTATGAAACACTTCGCAGGCAAAAACGTTTTGGCATTTGATATATTTTAAAATTGGATATCGCACCCTTAGAATTGAAGGGACTTAATCCAAAATTCAAAATTTTTGATAAACGCCCAAAATGTAATTGTCATTTTTTGTTTTTCATATAAAATACTTTAATAAGCGCTTGATTTAGAAAGAGATGGAAATACTACGTTTGTAATTTTCTGGACTCAAAGAGACTTTATTTTTAATATACTGGGAGTACAGGTTCATATGTCGTTCGAAGTATAAAGTTTATTTTCTTAATTTTTTTATTTAAGCCGTTTCAATTCTAAAGGTGCGAGATATCTCACGATTAAAATAAAATAAAAATCCATTGTGAGGCACGAAATTGAAATCTCAATCGTATTGTAGACACTTTAAAACTGCTCAGAATGAGGCAATATGGTACCTACTAATCACCTTAATAATTGTTCCTTTACTTTTCATCCATTAATAAAACTAATCAAAACATTCACAATATCTGTATAACAATAGATTTGCATGATCGACTGGCAACGTCCTGCGGGAAACTGTTTCCTGACTTCGTTTAGTATTCACAATCCTTAACATCCGACAAATGAAGTATAAATACTGACAGCTTAGAATATTAAAATTTAAATGCTATTATTGCGCTTATGGAATATTGCTCAGTGTTCCACGTTGAATACAAGATGGTTATTTTTTATTGATGTTGTAGACGGTTCTAGATAGTTAATACTAGAGATGATTGAGTACTTTTATATTGATGGTAATGATTCAGGCTGAATATAAATAGTAAGTACTGCTTTTGTATTTGTATAAATATATTAATACATGAAGCAAAAACTTTGTATCCCTTTTTACGAAAATTGCGCGGACGGAGGAGTATGAAATTTTCCACACTTATAGAGAATATAGAGAAGAACTGCACAACGCTAATATTTTTTTTAAATAATGCATAAAAGATATATTAAATCAATAAAGAAAACATTACACACACTACCATGTATTTGACACAACACATAAATATACTATTTGTTTATTGTCAATTGTCAAACTTTTGTTAGGTGTTTAGTCTGTTATGTGGTCAAATTCAGAATAGATGAATATTGATTGTCTTTATAATTATTTATGTATAGTGTATTTTTGGCGAAATCTGTGATTATAGGTATTATATAAGTACAATAGTATTTGACAATAGAACCATAATAATGTTTAAACATAAAATTTCAATTGATTAAAGTCGAATTTCGACTACTGCGGGACCACTAGTTTGTATAAATAGTCATACCGTCTTTTCGCATTAAAAGTGTACAATTTCCTAAAATATTCGAAATTGAGTTAATATGCGGAATCATTTGGTATACCAGTATTTTTCTCATAAATACTGTCAAAAGAGCGTAGTTTAGTTTTTTTTTTTAGTTTACCTATGTTTTGACTAAGTACTATTAACAAAATTAATTCATAATTTTATCTTACTTTAATAGACAGATAAGGTAACTGGTAAAAAAAAAAAAATAAATGTTGCAAAGATATTTAATATTAAAAATATCACAATACATGTTAAGCCTTTAAAACACTCTCCTGTAAAATTAGTAATTTTTGAGATTATACATTTTTAATGCGAGAAGACGATATTTAACGTTTATGACTTCAAGAAAGGTTTTGAAAGAAATTTTCTCAGTACTCACTTCTAGCTTTTCAGGCGTTCTTGGTTCAATTTAAATTTTATCCATAGCGTAAACGACTTTTAACTGACAACCCAGCCCACTGAGTTTCCCACTGTCGCGATTTCGATCGGTTGGTAGATTCTGCAAAGCACTGCTCTAGATAAGGCTAGTGTTAGGAAATTCTCTCAGGTAGAGTGCGTGAGCTCGCATACCCGTCCGGGTCTAATTGGAATAACCCCAATAATCAATAGTGAAAAAAAAAACTGACCGACCCATTGGCCATTTCATTTTAATGTTATTTAAAAGCGGTCTGACTGTTGTCTTAACATTTTAAGTAAACGGTTGTCAAATACTCGGTTCGTGATAAAGGTTAATACCGTCGCTGTCAAACCAAAAACTGCTATGTGCAAAAACGGCGGGGTAGGTACCACCACCCCGCCTATTTTTGCCGTGAAGCAGTAATGCGTTTCGGTTCGAAGTCTACGGGCACGAAATTTGCGATGGCTGAGCGATGGCGGCAGCGGGGCGACGCGACACGGAGCGGGTAGGCAGCGATATCTCGCGCGGGCACGAAACAAGCTGGCGGGCAGTCGCGCTTGAGCAGTGTTGTGCGAATCATGAGTTTACGTCGAAGAGAACTATTGGAGCCTAGTCTCCTATTGAGAGAATTATTATTACCTAGAGATGGTGTTCATCCAATAAATCAACGAAGACGCAATTTGGGAGAATTTTCTACGCTTTATTACGAGCTAAGGTGTCATTCAATGAAATTTTAAATTCCTTGTTAAATTATAAATTCCTCATTATCAATTTCCATTACTAAAATAATAACTGAACACAACACTGTGTACCCGCGCAAGCGACGAAACCAAACTAGTTTGTTCTCGTCGCTTCCGCGTCGCCGTCGCCCCATCATCGCCCGTACATCGCTCGATCGCCCCGCTCCGCCATCGCCCGTTTCGTGCCCGTCCCCATACTGTGCAATGCTTTTGTATACATCGCCGTCGCGCCGCTGTCGCCATCGCTCGGCCATCGCAAGCCTCGTGTCCGTAGACGAAGGGTGGGGTAGCCGTTGTAACTATACTGAGACTTTAGAACTTATATCTCGAGGTGGGTGGCGCATTTACGTTGTAGATGTCTATGGGCTCCAGTAACCACTTAACATCAGGTGGGCTGTGAGCTCGTCCATCCATCTAAGCAATAAAAAAATAAAAAAACTATTTTGAATTAACGAGTAAAAACATTTTCGTATCAAAATTTATATGAAAGTGATTTTTTAAGAACTATATCAAATCAAATCAACTCAAAAAAAAATTATTCAACATAAATGAAAGTACATACTTGTTGAACGTCAAAAAGAACTACCGCCAATTCACAAAAACTAGCCTCCGTCCCGAGAAGAACTGGCAAGAAACTCAGCGGGCATATTGTCTTTTTTCTTTTTTTAATATTAAAATATTTATTTTTACAATGAGTATATATAACGTAAAAATTATTGCAATATTGAAATGCCCGGAGCGAGCAACAGATTCCCACTTTGTGCAATCTTCTAGATAATCATTGACTTTATAGTAAGTAAGCTTTATTGCACAGATGTTCTTTAATATAAATGAAAGCTATAGATAAATAACAGTTTTTTTTTATTACGGTAGACAGGGCTGTGAACTATACGAAAAATAGGTCAAAAAGTTAAAATCTCCAAAAGTGCACATAGCAGATTTTGGCTTGACAACGACGATATGAAAAACACAAAACTTCTGTTATCATAAAGTAAACAAACACGCGAGCAACTCTCGCTTCGCCTTGAAATTCGCATGAAGTTGATTACGTCTTGAGGTTATCGCACTCGATGATGAATGAACTGGTAATCGACGATGGATGAACTGAGGCCGATTAAAGTTAAAGCAATGCACTTCGGACACTAGTCGTGTAATAAAAATGAAACCCGGAAAATTATAATTTGCGTAATTACTGGTGGTAGGACCTCTTGTGAGTCCGCGCGGTTGGGTGGGTACCACCGCCCTGCCTATTTCTGCCGCGAAGCAGTAATGCGTTTCGGTTTGAAGGGTGGGGTAGCCGTTGTAACTATACACTGAGACCTTAGAACTTATATCATTTACGTTGTGGATGTCTATGGGCTCTAGTAACCACTTAACACCAGGTGGGTTATGAGCTCGTCCACCCATCTAAAAAAAAACCTTATTTGAGTCATTTGGGACGTAAATTAGTTAAATCTATCTATCTATATATATAAAAATGAATTGCTGTTCGTTAGTCTCGCTAAAACTCGAGAACGGCTGGACCGATATGGCTAATTTTGGTCTTAAATGAGTCCAGAGAAGGTTTAAAAGGTAGATAAATATGAAAATGCTCGGAATTAAATAAAAATAACAATTTTGTTTTTCCTTTGATGTGTCCCCCGTCGGACGGATTCCTTTTGTTTGTTTTAAATTATATTATACAAAAGCTTAGGTCTTTTATTTATGGATTGAGGCACTACGAAGTCTGCCGGATCAGCTAGTTGTTAATAAATACGGAAAACCTATTTGTTTCTTGCTCTATCTCTTTCCGTCATCCTTGAATCTAACGGCACATAAAAAATATCCTGTAATTGTATCTAAGTTGCGTCATTTAATGCTGAACTTTTCAAATACGATGTAACTGCATTTTAAGTTTAGAAGAATCCTAAGAATTCGGAATACGGAACGCCATAAAAATCTTTTTGAGAACGAAATAATTGAACCGTAATTGTAATTTAATTGAGCATTTCAATAATCACGACTCGCTTCTTGGAGAAGTTTTGTAATTTTTTGGAGCGATTAAGTATCACGCTAGTCGTGTTACTTAAAAATTAAGACACAAAAACGCGTCGATAACTATCATTGAAAACGTTGTTCTGACTGATAATAAATCATGATCATTTCGCGCTAATATTTTGTAATGAGATTATGACATTTTCAATTGCTTCAATCAACGGCAAATCACTATTATTATCACGCTACTATATTGTTGAGCGTTTGAATCATGAAGTCTGCATCGTTATCTTGAATTCAGCGTAGACAATTCGCCTGATCGATTACGTGCTAAGAATTCATTAGGCGTTTTCATTTCGCCACATTGTTCAGTTTATGAATGAACGTCGGATGTGTCGGACGTGCCAAGTTCGTTGGAATAATGAAAATGTAACGATCAGCTAATTGGATCGCTTTCGAGAATTAGCTTTGAACGACGCGTTACTCAGTACCGATGTTTTCCTTGAACAATATTGAATTATACATTAGTTTTATGTCATGTGTAGCTAAGAATATTTAATTACGTGTCCAGTGAAATCAATCGAAATAGTCTCGAAAAGTATTATCTGTGAAAAGTGCTCAAATATGGTTATGGAATCAGGCCAGCAGAACGGTCGGTTCTGGCCTCTGTCTCCACGATTGTGGCGGAGGAGCAACGAATACACCAAAGTTGGCTTCGAGCCGCGACGACCGCCAACTTCACCCTTAGAAATACGAAGAATATTCAACATGACTCCTGATTTACTACGGACGAGAAGTTTCATCAAAGATCGACTAGATCATTTAGATTTAGAAGAGAATATCTTAGAAGTCGAATATGAGAAGCTTAATTTAGATTCAAAACCACCAATAAGAGAGAAGAAGGTGGAAGAAGTGAGACTTAGAGCGAAAAAGCAAAGGCAGCCTCGGCCAAACAGCCTTCAGTTATTGCTGTGCCCGTCGAGCTCTGGCCACTACAGTAGTAGTACTTGGAGGTACACCAGAGCGCGATCCAAGAGGTGAGTCTTGAAAATTTAACATGAAACTCATTTAACACCGTAGATTAATAGTTGGTAAAATTTTCAGGCCGTTTTAAAACCTAATTCAATATACCTGTAATTATTGCATTTATAGCTTGAATTAAAATTTGTCTTGCAAATTATATTCAACAGCTACGTTTTATGTATTTATAGAATCATTATATCTAAAATTTATTATTTCCTGCCCAGTTCTGTCACGGAGCAGTCGCGAGTTAAAATTCGAGTTCGAGACAGTGAACTAATAATAATAGAGTGCTATTTTCTTTGACGAATTACGGTCTAGTGTCTATGTTGTATGCACATGTTCTTGGTAAAAAGCTGGCTCTGATATTCTTGCCTAATATAATCAGTGGTGAAACTGGTAAATCAGTGACTAATTGAAAGTGTCCGTTAAGGTCTTTTGGTTTTATCATGTGTTCATTTGATTTATGGGCTTCGGCACTTGAAACCGGGTGGGCTCCTGGCCCTCGTCCGCGCCCGTTTCCGAAAATAAAATATACAGTAATAACCACTTAACCTCACTTCGCTTTCTTCAAATAAACTTTCGGTTATCTTTCACTCGGTTCTGCGGACCGAGCGGTTGTTTTCCACTTTCACACAACACCTGTTTGTCAGTTAAATTAATTAATATTTCTTGTGGCAGGCAATCCTGACGATGGATAAACCAGTTTTTTTTGTTTATCTCTTTACCTGTTACAGTTTGTTGTTCGATGTGAACGATAACGTCTCAATGGACGAAATTTTGATAATATTAGGATGCTTTGGTTATATCGTTACAGTAGAGTCTAAACGGCCGTCTGGTATAGTGGTAAGTGACATGGTCACTACACAAGGGTCGCGGGTTCGAATCCCGCCAAGGGAAGATTTTGTATGATAAATATAAAATGTCTTTTCCAGGGTTATGGATGTATATTAAATATATGTATGTGTATAATAAAAATCTTACATTTATTTCCGTTATCTGGTACCTGTGACACAAGTTCTTTACGAACTTACCACGGGACCAGTTAACGTGGCGTGATTGTTAGCAAATATTTATTATATTTATTATTATATTTATTTCGTACGAAATCACATCATTATCGAGGTTACGTGGTCAGAGAAGCCCTTAAACATGGTAGCGTGAATGTTGCCGCCAATATTGGCTCACGGAATCGAAGTTTGAAATATATTGGAATAAGCTTATCTGCAATTTCGATCGTAACGCAGGTTTTACTTACATTTAGTTGTCTGACTTAACAACTGAATACTTCTCGGGTTCGGTGGAAAATAAGCATACCAATAATACGGACGAATGATGAGGAAGTAGTATAGGGATGGTAGCTTATAAGAGCTTGAAGTTGCTTCATTATCATCATTAGCCTATAGCAGTCCACTGCTGGATATAAGCCTCCAGGATTCTCAATTTTGATGCCACTGAGCACGATTCCCGGCTTCTCTCATCCAGCTCTTACCAGCCACCCTGCATTGATCGTCACTCCACCGAGCGCGAGGGCGTCTTAAATTACATTCTTAATTGCATACTTATATTACTTAATTGGTTGTAGGACCTCTTGTACTAGTGGTAGGACCTAATTAGGACATAATTTAAAATTAAAATGATCGTGAAGTTGTCGTGGCCTAAAGGATAAGACATCCGGTGCATTTGTATCTAGCGATGCAACGGCGTCCGAATTCCGCAGGCGGGTATCAATTTTTCTAATGAAACACGTACTTAACAAAATGTGTTCACGACTGACATCCACGGTGAAAGAATAACATCATGTAATAAAAATGAAACCCGCAAAATTATAATTTGCGTAGATCATTACTGGTGGTAGGACCTCTTGTGAGTCCGCACGGATAGGCATCACCACCCCGCCTGTTTCTGCCGTGAAGCAGTTATGCGTTTCGGTTTGAAGGGTGGGCTGCCGGCCGTTGTAACTATATTGAGACTTAAGCAATAAAAAAAATCCCAGGCAATAAAAAAAAATATATATATATTATTATTAAAAATCAGAGTTGAGCAAAAAAATACGCAAACAAAAAGGGATTACAGTTTTTATCTTCATATGACGCGTTGTCGGTTGTGAAAGCCTTCAAAACTGGACCAAACGTATTGTAATCCGCGAGATTTCATTCATCGTATTCAAATTCGACATAATCTTCGTTTCATGCAACTCACATCTGTGGGTGGGTAGTCGGTGGGCGTTATGTGTAGTCGAGATCTTTTGGGTTACCATAAAGGTTCCGCACTAGCGCTATGCGAACGCGCCTTTATAAAACAGCTTGTATACTATAGATTGCGAATAAGTTTGTATTGGTTTATTCATTATCGTGTTTTTTTTTATATTTATTGCTTAGATGGATGGACGAGCTCACAGCCCACCTGGTGTTAAGTCGTTACTGGAGCCCATAGACATCTACAACGTAAATGCGCCACCCACCTCGAGATATAAGTTCTAAGATCTCAGTATAGTTACAACGGCTACCCCACCCTTCGAACCGAAACGCATTACTGCTTCACGGCGGAAATAGGCGGGGTGGTGGTACCTGCCCGTGCGGACTCCCAAGAAGTCCTACCACCAGTGATTATGCAAATTATAATTTTGCGGGTTTGATTTTTATTACACGATGTTATTCCTTCACAGTGGAAGTCAATCGTGAACATTTGTTTAGTGCGTATTTCATTAGAAAAATTGGTACCCGCCTGCGGGGTTCGAACACCGGTGCATCGCTACATACGAATACACCGAACGTCTTATCCTTTAGGCCACAACGACTTGTTCTTATCTATAGGTCTAATATTTAAAAAAAACGTGTCTATTAATGGTTTTTGTTTTCATAATTTCGCGGGTTACCAACGTTCGTGCAAGGAAAGCAAAGCAAGGAAAACCATTTAGCGAGGGGATATTTTTATTAACACACTGTCACTCCTAAAGTATTTACCTAATATATGCAAAATTTATTTATAGGTATCGTCAGCACGATTCAATTTTTTGTTAATTTTTTTAAAGTCGAAAATATCTCCCGTTACCTCACTCCCTTCAGAAACAAATATTTAAAATCAAAGCTTGAATGGTGGAAAAAGAGTCCTTTATCGAAACGCGTACATTTGTATTGGAATTCACGTCAATGTCACAAATATCCGCCCACAATAAATCGTTAAACCGTTCATACTGAAGTCTTCTTTTTCTCCATCTTATTCCACCAGGTGGGGTCGGCACATCTAATTTTTCTCTCCCATTCTCTTCTATCAGCCGTCATCTCAACGCTCACTCCTCTCTCTCTCTCTCATACGTCATTCACACAGTCCATCCATGTTTTCTTCGGTTGACCTCTTCCCCCTCTACCTTGCACTACCATTTCCATCTCCTAGTAACATGTATCTTCTCTCTACGCATCACACATGTCCATGCCACGCTAACCGTCCGCTCTGTAACGAATACATACTGAAGTGATTGTAAATATTATCGGTCAATATCATTATCATTATCGGTCGTCGGAAGGATTTGTATACAACTTAAATAATCTTACATTGTTATCATTGACTCGTGCCTTACATTACTGGAACATCTTATTTTTTCTCCTACCTACGCCGAAAGTTCGGTTTTCGTCCCGCTGTACAGGGAAGAAAGTGTAACTTTTTCTCCCTGGGTACAAGTGCGCATGTGCGTTAGTGTCTACGTCTACTCTCACGCAGCTAAAATTCTCCGCCATTGTTGTGCTCAGGTAATTTGCAATATTGTGTTTAATGTAAAAGTGAAATAAAAAAAGGCAATAAAATTTAATAGTGAAGTATTAAACAAAGATGAGTTCATCAGACAGTTCTTATTCAATTAGTAGTAGTTTATTTAAAAATTAAAAAACAATTAAATTGTTTTTTTATGAGTACATATGACACATGACATTTCCTCCCGCGTGTAAAATTTTACACAATGTACTATTGTTTTGTTTGAAACATAATAAATGTAGGTTAATGTTTAACTGATGTTCACATTCCAACTATCCCATTATTCAATGGTCAAGAACAACTTTCAGGCTATAGAAATAACATCGTCAAACCATTTGTCTGATACAACATTGAGTCCACAGCAGATGCCATTGCACTTCACTATATTAATAGCGATGGCAAAATAGTCGTTGTTTCGATGTAGTTTAGAATTGACTTCGATTTCTCAAGACTAGTAAGTTACTGATCAATGGTTTGTAAATCCAGTTGGGACAAAAGATATTTACTATATATTTTATAATATATATTTTTTGGACAATAAGTCTTCCTTCTTCTCTAAAACTATCCAATTAGTGATACAAACAAACTTATCATATTAAATTAAATATATTATATCGCGGAGTGAAAGGCTATTTGGTTTTGGCGACATTTTTGCAACTTTACAGGAAAGCCATTTAAAAAGTTTAAAATTTGGAAAAAATGTCATAATAAAAAAAAATAAAAAAAAAAGCTATTCGGATGCAGTAAACTTAATTGATGTTCAATTAAAATCATCGAACTGTTCATGCTAATACCAAATAAAATGCACATTTAGCAACAAATAACCGTTCACACCTCGATATATAATTATAATATACTATTATAGTAAACTAAGCTACATACTATAAGTATTTATTAAAACATACTGCAGTACGTAGTACATAATATCTCGGTGACTGCTTGCAACAAAGCTGCGTTTTGTAATTCAAGTGGGTGGGTGGAATATAAACTCCGACTTTAAGCCCTATATTATGTAATTATCGCCACGATCCCATAAAAGGTAGATCGTATGTTAATTCTTTAGAACATTTGTAAATCGTTTCTTATTAGTATTTCTTGAATGAAAACTAATGGCTTTTTAAGTGACTTTCGCAGTCTTGTATTATAACACTTAAAAAAAGCATGAAAAATTTAGTTGTCGGTTTGATTATCGAAGTTAATATTATCTCATATTAAATTCATCGCTACCGCGGTCAGTTAGTCAATAATCCTAAGTACCCGCGGACCC